GTTTATATTTTCACACATTTGAATCCAAGACCGCCTCTTAGATTTCCGTGTTTCATTATTATATTCAGATAGGGTTTTCTTATATTGATTCTAATCAGAAGTGATTTTTGCTTTATTGAATATTTTACGTGAAACTTTCCGAAGGCATTCCAATTTCAAATTCCACCACGGCACATCCCTGTTAGAAGACGACCGTCTGATAGGACAGCTACTGTTGTAGGAATTTATAATTCTTTCGTTTACCTTTTCAGAAAATGATTCCATCCTGTCTAATGGCATTTGAAAAAGTAGGTTCATTTCCTTTGTTGCATATGTCTATATTATAAGATGAGAGAAATTCCAAAAGGCACTCACGTCGACTGTTGGTGTCCGTACTACCCCACACGATATGATGAACATTTGCATCACAGCCAATGGTGAACGACTTGTTGTATTCTCTGCAATATTGGACTAATGAGGCGATCTCTGGAGGAGATCCTCAGGAGCATCACCAGGAAAATAAGCCGAAGCAACTACAATCTCGGTTTTTTCCCTTGGTGGTTGGTACCTCAACCATGACTGCGACGATGTCCCTTTTTGATGAATTCTGTAATAGGGTAGCATTTCAATGTTTTATTAACCAGAATAGCAGTTCTAGGTGAAGTCTGCTTTTCGTCATAGTATAACTTACATGCGTTTATTTCAATTCCTTGTATTTTTTCTCTGTTGGACCATGGCTCTTGAATAAGCGCCATGTCCAGCTCCCCCTTTTTGAACCTCCGACTCAATACAGCAGAAGCACCTTTTGCATGGTGGAGGTTCACTTGCAGGAACTTAATGGGTTTCATTTTGTTTATTTGATCGCTCATCTTTGTCTTTGGGGTGAGCGATAGACCCATCGTTTGATACTCGATATTTGATTTTCCTTAACTGCGTTTGACTAAATCGGAAGTTCAGTACGAAGTCACGTTCCGACAGTGTCTTTAGCGAATCTGCATCAACATTTAACGTCCACCCGGCATGTTTGTTTGCGTTGGAGCGATTAAATATTTTCCAGCCATTCGTGCTTAAACCATCATTTTGACTCTCAATGAGTCTCTTAAGCCTCTCATCGCTGAAATCTGCACTTAGTGAGAAGAATGCGTGGAATATTTCCGGATGAGGGACCTCTTTCTCGTCCAGGGCAATAAGCTCGGCATTTTCCCAAGGGGTGAGTACCTTTGTCACATCTTTTAGCCACGTCGCTGTTGTTTGATGCTTGCAAACCAGGAACAAATAACCTTGATTGTAGCTACATTTTGTGAACTTTGGTTTATATTCTCATGCCTTTGCTCCTCTATTTTTAGGAGCAGAGCATCTTGTACAGCATGAGTTGTTCTGTGTTCATTTGTTGTTCCGGGTATCCTTTTACGATTATTCCAATGTTTAGAGATGAACTAGCCTATGGCTAAAAATCTCTCAAATAAAGGAAAAAAAAAAAATTATTCCAATCTAAGCTAGACTTGCAACGTCTTTGAAGGAGCGACTACCTGAGTTAGAATCAGCTGATGAACTTTTGGGATATCCTGAAGCTCCTCCATTTCCATCAGCTTTTTCTTCACTCTGGTCAGCCTCCTTCATTGATTATGCTTGATTGCCAGTATTGGATAATCCAGCGCGCACTTTTGGACAAAGATTCGACTTTGTCCTCTTAACGTCCGGCTTTTCTCCACTGCTACCTTGATCGCCATTTCTCGATGGCATAGCTGTGTTTGGAGTCCCAGAAATAGCTTTTTGCAAAAACTTGTTTCCGAGCTTCCCCCATGCTTATCCCTGATTCAATGCATTTCTCGATAACTTTTTCAAAGAGACGTATCAGCTTTTATAAACAATGCATTTGATCGTTGATTTGGCGTAACGGGTAGCTCGCCCACGCATGCTAACACTACCATCAGATAGAGGAATTTCCCCCCCACCTGTTAGTGGTGTTAGTAAGCGTGTGCGAGCTACCAGTTACGCCCAATCGATGATCAAATGCATTGTTTACAAAAGTTGATACGTCCCTTTGAAAAAGTTATCGAGTCTTAATTTTGTTTCTTTTTGTTTTCGAAAGATTTTTGCGCCACTTGATTTTCGACGCACTATCAGTGGAAGGGTTACTTCCACTTCCACTAACGATAACCGACTTTATGGTGACGTTTATTCCATCATCATCTTCGTCACTCTCGCTTGTGTTGCTGCCCCCTGTCTCTTCTGGCTACGCCTTTGCACTGGACACAGCATTGATGTTGATGGAGCCTACATTTTAATTCGTTATATGATTGTTAACCGTAATACTCGCAGTATACTCGATTTGGGATTGGAGTAAGGTAACCATTTTAGTATTGTAGATTACTAATATCAGGATGATCGGATAGTTTTTAGATTCTTATTAGTAAAGTTAAATCGACTCATTGGCTTTTGAAATAGAGGAATCAATTTTTTGTTTTTTGGAACGTCTCACTTTTTTGAACGGAGTACCTTCAGTGCATGACTCGTTACTTTCACTCTCGGAAATCTCTATGGTCAAGGACTTGGAAAGGACTGGGTTGATGGGAATTTTGAATGCTGGCACGTGGCAGAAGCTGATCGTCATCACGTCAACCGAATTAACTTTACAGTGCCGAGAATTCTTGTTCACTATACAATACATCTTAAAAATATAGTCAAAAGATACAACAAAATAAATATTTTATCTTCCGCTATCCAATAAGCCTCCTCAACCAGAACGGGAGCCGCTTCCAGTGGTTTCATTGTATGGTAGATTTGCCAACGGAGGTCAGAACGCTTCCATTGCAGCAATGGACGCAAAACGTGGTCAACACTCACACATTCATCATGAAACGGTTGCTTTCCAAAGTCGACGACGCATCGACTGAAAGAACTGCTTATGAAGAACAATCAGGAGGACCACACAATGGATGCAGCCGAGCAAACAGACGATCGCGTGACACACGTTGAGAGTGGCCTGCTTCTGTCGACAGCCAAGGGAACACTGATCCATTTCGTGGTCGATCTGGATATCGCCTACAATGTCTACAGTAGTAGCTGTTGCAAGGACTGTGCTACTGGTCGAGGGTGTGTAGAGGGTAGCAGTCAGTAGGCGGGCCGGAGATATTTTTTAGGCTTTGAGCCTGTAACGTATTGTCTCGCACAAATGGTGGTGTTGGAACAAGTGGTGCTGCAGTGTTCAATATAGCTGCAAAACTGATAGCTGCTGAACCAGTCTTTGCTGCTTGAAAGGTTGGACCTGGACCATTAGAACCTTGTGCTAGCTTCAAACGACTGTCAAGGTCAACCTTTTGTCACAGTAGTTTTATTTTTTTTTATTTTCCGCACATGTACTTCCTGGATGCGACAAATTCATACAATGTCAACACGTTTGAGGCTGGTTTCGGTAGGTCACCAGTGATTGCTAACCTTGGATATTAATAAATGACTTGATGTATCGTCGCAAGTTCATTTTGAGGACCCAAACTCCTGAAGCAATCCTTTTGCATGCAAAGCCATCACTCCAGGTTAGCTCCTTTGCACTCACTTTATCACCGTACTGCTTCAAGGCAGCAAACATTTCGTCCTTCGTCACATTCTCAGACACGTCATGGATTTTAATTTCCACTCCTCCATCGTCCATCTGAAGTCGCTTTTTGTACTTCTTCTTGTTCACCTCCAGCTCATGTCATCCGTCATGTAGAGTCACCATGTCCTGGTCTGTTTTCAGGTTGACATGCACACAATTTTGTGCATGGTTCATCTGGAGTCGCAATATTTGGTCGAGTCGCAACCCGAGAGTATGATGCACAAACAAGTGCAGATCTTCGAACGACGGTCGCTTTGGGAAGTTCGAGAGTATTATCATAGAGGTAACTCTAAGACCCAGAAGGTCCCGAAGAATCGTGCTCAATTTTTTGGCTCAGCTCTGGTACTACCTTCGGTCCCAAGCTAATCGATGCACCCCTCGAAACATAAGAAAATCCACGAACCCCTCATTTTATCTGCCAAACTTTCATAGCGAATCAAAACAAACAAAGTGTAGCACTAGAATTTCAACTAGAATGGGGTAGGTTAATCGATTTGCTTGGGACCAATAGGCTAGTCAAGTAGTGAGCCAATTTTCAATCGTTAGTTTCCACCGGTTGGTAGTATCTTGAAGGTATTTTCATGAGGTCGCATCGATGCCATAGTCGCGTGAAATGCATACGAAATGCAGACACTGAGATTGTTTATCGTCAGTATTTGACGCAGAAAATTTATCACACCGAAGTGTGGAAGGGGTGAAACCGAAAACTCTTCACACTCGGAGCCCGATTGTAGCACGTCGGGTCGCTGCAATAGCTTGAACCTAACTGGCTGTTGGAGAGGGATATGTCTTTATCTGGGAGATAGTAATTATTTCCTATTTACTATCTATCCAGTAATAGATATCCGTCTTGCTATTTTTTATTTACTGTGTAAAAATGCCTAAATTTTCAAAGAAAAATATATAAACATATTGCTTCCTCTGTCTACAACCATGAAAACCATAAAAAACAAATTCAATCAATGTTTTTCAATCCAAAATTCCAATTACCTTTAGCATTATATATTTTTTATTAAATGTAAAAGTAGCTTTCTTTTGATATTTTGATCTTTGTAAACGGCTCAGTGGTTCAAAAGTAATGATTTTTTTGAAAAAGGTTATTTTTGTAAAAATTAAATTTTTTGCACCACCGTAATTCTGAGATGGCTGTATTATTCTACGAGAGACTCCGTGGTGTAGTTTATATTTCCAAGCCTAATACATGGCTGGTCACAATTTCTCAAACCCAAAAAATGCTACGTCACTTATGCATGATCCCTTGCATAAATCTTAAAGCACAAATATAGACGCTCAATAACTCCTGTTGAACGTTACCTCCAAATCCACTGCACAAGCACGTGTGGTGTCGATTTCATGGACCCCCACAAGTATGTCTCACTGATCAATTTTTTGCTCTTCTCAATTTCCAACCTGTCTCCCGCAGATAACGTTGTCGATTCATCCTACTGGGATCACTTTTTCCGAAAACGACCGGCGGCTCTAAACGACCATCTGCCATTTACTTCCTGCGGTAAGTGAAATCGATTCGTCCCTCCTACTACTGTGTGTTGCCATTTTTCTTCTCATGAGTAGAAGTAGTACGTGAGTGTTTTCGTCCCATATTATCGAGCCTAACTGCCGTTTTAGCACCCGGAAATTTACGTTGATTAATAACCCGGAGGACACAGCCAGAAGGCGTTTGCTTACAACTGGTTCGACGACGACGACGACGACAATGAAAACCTGTCGTGGTCGTCGTCGTTCATTTTCATGCCTGTCACAGCATCACACAACCCCGGGAATCTGCACATATATACCACCGGTTGTGTGAAGTGGTTTTTCCCTTCCTTTCTTCTCATGACTGTTTTATTTTCTTTGTTTATTTAATTCCTCTCTTTGAACGACAGCTTGGAATGACTTCAACAACTCCTGTAAGTGCCGGGCAACGGAAGTGCTGTGCGACTACAAAGACCTTACCACTCTGCCGACTTCACTGCCAATGGATAACATTACACTGCTGTGAGTAAATTTATTTTCAGCAAAAGTTAAGGTTAAGTCAAGTTTGCAATCACGTCATTTCCAGCGCGGTTGGCGGTTTGTTTGTTCAGTTAACAATCTATCATGCGCCTCCATTATTAGCCCTCACCATTATGACGGCTGTGCATATGTTACATAGTGCAAGCTTGTTTCTTCAATAACCCGAACAGCACAGAATGATGCACAATGATGACACCCCACAGGATGCAACATTCCTCCTTACAGGCAAGGACATCCAGACCTTCGGATCCCTACTGCCATATCATTTTTTCCCATCTCCCATCCCGATAAAATTCCATTCTGTAATAGTGTCAACCTGTGTTCAAGAAGGATGGTGTCATCAGTTTTCTACTCAAAGGAGTAATTCACTCCAGCAGCCTCAAATGAAACATTTCCCCATATAAGTATTGACTGCTTTCTTTTCTCTGTTTCCCTTCAACGTTTCCATTTGCAGGGATTTGACTGGCAACAGATTTCCGGTGCTGAATATGAATGTCTTTGAGAGACTCCCGGCCCTCGATACGTTGTAAGTATTCATTTCCGGTATTTTTCCTCTGTGTTGCTAGCATTCTACAGTTTTTTTTATGAACGAAAAAGATTGAAAAAAAAAAACGAGCGACGCCCTGCTCCCACATTCCACAGTCAATCAACAGCTTGTCGGGATTGATTTGTTGTCCTAACGTGACACATCATTACTCGATTTTCATTTTGTCCTCTGTCTACGTTTGGCAGACATACCGGTCCTCTTTTTACTGGCTTATTACGATTCTACTGGAACACATGCATGTTCTTTTTCAGCTTGTTATTGGGAGGCTTCTAAGCCTACGAAAAACTCATCCGAATCGGACATTGAACCCACTACCTTTCGAATGTTGTGCCATATGACCATGTCATTTTTCAATTACATCTTTTGAGGGACCTCATCCTTTTACGATTTTATGTGACATACAAATAAATCAGTCGGAAATCTTCCAATTCCGGTTGAAGGAACTTTTCGATTTTCGGAAATGTTTCATTTTGATTCGCATCAATTCTTGATCCTGGGAGATAGCGAAAGGATGGTCGTCTACCTCGGTGTTTTATGTCGGAAGTGTTTGGTTCCATTCTAATCCAATTCCATACCAATCCAATTGACGACATTTCTTGATTCATTTGCAGGTTTTCCTGATGTGTATGATCAGAATTGAGTACAATGGACAATTTTCTTGAGTTTGGCACAACGTGAAACTGCGAAAAATTTAAGGTTATAATATGACCTTTATAATAGGAATTGTCAGAGGGGGCAGTAAGACCACCTTTATCAGAACTAAAAAAACTACAAGGGACAGCCCTACGGGGTTGTACGCAATGGTGACGTAGGACTACGTGGTACTCCTTCATGTTATTTGTTAACTGCAGCAGGAGCTTGTGTTTTTTGTAGGAATAGGTATTGCTATTTATGTCAAAGAATCAGTTCAATTCAATCTTCGTACCAACGAAGTTATTGATGGCAACTGGTTCTTGGGCATTACAGTTGTACGTGGCATGAAGATGGGTAATTATGGTGTTTTGTATCATTCTCCCAGTTCTAGTGACCAGCGTTTTGTTGAAGTTTTAGAGAACTGGTTTGAGACATTCCTTGATTCGAGTAAATTAAATATATTGGCTGGTGATTTTAATATTAATTGGCGTGATAACCATAATTCGAATCATTTGAAGCGTTTAGCTGAGTTTTTTAATTTAAAGCAAACGGTAAATGAGTATACGCGTATTTCCAGGCACAGTAGAACTTTAATTGACCACGTTTATTCCAATTTTGATTCCATTTGTTCAGTTACGGATACTGATTTGAAAATAACCGATCATGAGACTTTAGTGATTAATGTCTTAGACCATGTTAACGATAACGATAATTTTGTAAAATTGAAGTGCTGGAGGAAATATTCGATGCAAGCTGTTTCGAATCTTGTTGAGAGAAGCCTGAATTTTCCATTCGCGGCCGGTAACTTAGATGAATCTACAGCTGTTCTTAATAACGCTTTGAAAACGTGTACCAATCAACTAGTTGAGCAAAAGTTTGTTTCTTTGAAAAACTCGAACAGCTGGTACAATTTGGATCTTTTACGTCTTAAACGGAAAAGGGACAAATGGTACAAAAAGTTTTGTAGATCTAATAATGACAATCATTGGACTAGGTACACAATCGCGCGTAATAAGTATTCACAATCGATAAAGAAAACTCGTTGTGAATATGTTCAAAGGAAAATTGATCAGCATCAAAACAACAGCAAAGAGTTATGGAAAATTTTGAAATCTTTATTAAAACCTAGTAATTGCAAACCGCGGTCCATAACTTTTAATGGCACATTAGAACAGTCAGAACAAGTAATTGCAGCTAAGTTTAATGATTATTTCGTAGACAGTGTTTCATTGATTAATCAATCTATTGAATTGGTCGATGAACCTGATGAAATAAAACAGCCAGTTAATAGTAGTTGTAGATTTGAAGTTTTTCACCCAATTTCATTAGATGAACTTAGAGTTATTTGTTTTTCATTAGGAAAATCGGCTGGAGTAGATAATGTAAATGCTAGAGTTATTCAAGATTGCTTTCATGTCATTGGCCACATCTTGCTGGACCTTATTAATGAATCATTGCTGAATGGACATGTGCCACAAATTTGGAAGGAATCCTTAGTGGTCCCTATTCAAAAAGTTGCTGGGACGATTAAAGCTGAAGAGTTTCGTCCCATCAACATGTTGCACACATTAGAGAAAATTTTAGAACTTGTTGTTAAAGGCCAGCTGTTGGAGTATTTAAATAGTAATAGTTTGTTGATACCAGAACAGTCGGGATATCGGGAAGGTCATTCTTGTGAAACCGCGTTGAATTTGGTATTAGCGAAGTGGAAAAATAACTTGGAGTGTAAAGATACGATTGTTGCTGTTTTTTTGGATCTTAAACGCGCTTTTGAAACAATTTCTAGACCCTTATTGTTAAGATCAATCAAGCGCTTTGGAATTACGAGTACTGCATATAAATGGTTTGAAAGCTATTTGTCTGACAGAACTCAACGGACTGTTTTTAATGATTCTGTTTCCAGTCCCGTGGGGAATAACCTTGGAGTGCCCCAGGGAAGTGTATTAGGGCCCCTGTTATTTATTATGTATATTAATGACTTGCGACGTGTTTAACGATTTTGCGACATTAATCTTTTTGCAGATGATACTGTGTTATTCATTGCAGCTAAGGATTTAGATGATGCGGTTTTACACTTGAATGAAGATTTGCGTTCTCTAAGTAGATGGTTGAAGTATAAGCAGTTAAAATTGAATACAAGTAAAACTAAATTTATGGTAATTTCGCGGAATCGAGTAAATGAGAACGTCTCTGTTGTAATTGATGATGAGACTATTGATCGCGTTCGGGAGATTAAATATCTTGGCGTGATTATTGATGACACACTTAAGTTCAACTCTCACATTGACAATGTCATCAAGAAAATTGCCAAGAAGTATGGAATTCTATGTCGACTGAAAAACGATTTAACTATTGCCAGTAAAATACAGCTATACAAATCAATCATCTCTCCTCATCTTGACTTTTGCCCTTCCATTTTATTTCTGGCCAATGCAACACAAATATCGAGATTACAGCGCTTGCAGAATAAAATAATGTGTTTGATTTTGAGATGTAATAGATTCACTTCCTCAACTTTGATGTTAGACGCCTTACAATGGTTGTCGGTGAAGCAAAGAATTGTATATTTGACTATGGTGTTCATTTTTAAAGTAGTTAACGGTTTGCTGCCTCGATATTTGTGTGATCGAATTGAAAGAGGAAGTGACTTTCATAGATATAATACTAGAAACGCGGTTGAAATAAGAACACCACATTTCTTGACTTGTGCTTCACAAAATTCATTATATATTAAAGGAATAAATGTTTTCAATTCGATGCCTAGACATATCAAACGTTTAGCAACACTTACAGAATTTAAAAGACACTGCATTTCACACGTTAAAACTGTCGTTTGAACAGTTATCCAGTGATTTTTTATGAATTGACAAATAATGTATCTTGACGAAGTTATCTCTAACGGATTATTTTATATGGATAGCTGTCATAACGACTTTTTACTAATTATTGTAGCACTGCAAAAACTATTTCTGTTCGCCACGAGGGTGATGATGGATTTTTAATATTTGATTTTATAGTAGATTAATTAAAAAAAAAAGTAGTCTACAAAGGTTTGAGCCTCGCGCGCGTATTACGGATATAGAGGACTGAATTTAACATTTGATAAAAAAAAATGCAATTTTGAAGCTTATTTGAAAGATACCTTGAGTTAGTAGTAAGTTTTCTGGCAAATGTTAGGGGTTCGTGAGCATTCCTGACATTGCTGAAAATTATGATAGCATCAGATTGCGGGGTTGCTAGTGTAATAGGATGCTTTGTTGATTATGCATTAACTCTTGATTGCTTGTAATGCTTATGAATATTTTAGGTGGACAAAAAGGCGAACTAAGAGGTGGACACCTGAGTTTTTCCACATTTATATCGCTGTGAAGCAACTGTAAACTTTAGAGGGAATTTATATCTGTAACTGAAACCAGTTCGATTTTGTTTGAGAACCTGGTTAAAATGTCATATTCAGTTATCTTAAAGATAAATCGTCCAGCTCAAACCTTTGTAGGGGTAAAAGGTGGGTCCATCATCATCATCATAGGAATTTGAGCGGGGTTCTCTCTGCTTATGCTCTTTAGTATGACGCACTTGACATAGATGGCCCACAATAACTCACGAAGAGCTACTGGTTCCGATCAATATCGGTGCGGCTTCAGCCTCCTTCCATGCATTAAGCCGGGTTTAGACTAGGCAAGTCAAATGATCAACTCAGTTGAATTCAATTGGCTTGAAAAGTTGAGCCTGTTTCAACTTTTTTCAATTCAAGTGAGTTGATCAAGTCAGTTGAATGGCATGGTTTACACGTTCAATTCGCGTTCAAGTCAGTTGAATTTAACTGGCTTGATCAATTGACTTGCCCTGTCTAAACCCAGATTTAATGTGCGCTGCAGCTCACTGCTTGCAGGCAGCCTTTTTTATGTACTGGTGAACAATGTTCAACGCTACGCGCAGAAAGCTCTGCTGCTGCTGCAACTGATGCCGACGACCGGACACCACACACGGTGATTGGAACTGAATTCGATCAACGGCTGAGGCCAGCCTTGGTAGCTAGCTGCTTGTGGGGAGCCTTTCGTTGTGTACTGGAGAACACCACCACTCACCACGCGGTGATTAAATAAACACCGTTTGGTGAGACCGGATGGAATTCAACTTTGAAATCTGTGTAAGGAAAATAGCTTTTCGCAGGTAATCGGTGATAATTTTAATTATCAAAGCAACAGTTGCACATTCACATGATTTTCAATAGTCACATTTTGAAAAATGATATAGTCTTATATTTAACAGATGCGTAGACATATATCTGATCGATTGGAGATAAAATTATTGAAATTGGTCCAGGGGCAGCTGAGTTATTAACG